GATATGATTCAAAACATGTTTAAAATGTCTATGAGCTCTCATTTAGTACAGATGGGATTATACTTTGGTGTAATTTTTCTGGAGGACAAGTTGGCAGTACCTCAAAAACTAAAATGTACCTACCCTCAGCCAAGCAATACTATGATGTCATACCAGAGACACATTATGCATCTATGCAAAGTATGCACAAACATGAATAAGGTTGCTCATTATGTCAAAAAAGAAAAAAGTTGCTATAGAACACAGTCTAAGTGACAAAAATCAAATGGCAGGACAATATCAATGCATAACATGACTGCATATGTGTTTTTTTCTAATTAAAAAGATGGCTTTATAGATATGGGGTGTTTGTATAGGCAGGAAAAATAGCTGGACGAATATAGAAATTAATAATCTGGGTGAAAGAACTAAGAGTAGAACACTTTTTATTCTTTATGTATTGCTTTAATTTTTTATCATGATGATACAGAACTTTTGATTTTTAAAAATAACATAATTTTTTTTTGTTTTGAGACAGAGCCTCAAACTGTCCCCCTGGGTAGAGTGCCATGGCATCACAGCTCATAGCAATCTCCAACTCCTGGGCTCAAGCAATTTTTTTGCCTCTGCCTCCCAAGTAGCTGGGACTACAGGCGCCCGACCCAGCTATTTTTTGGTTGCAGCTGTCATTGTCGTTTGGCGGGCCCAGGCTGGATTCGAACCTGCCAGCTCAGGTGTATGTGGCTGGCGCCTTAGCCGCTTAAGCCACCGGCTGCTAAGGCACCAGTCAAAAAATAACATAATTTTCAAAGGCCAAAAATGTGTGTGGGAACCCAGAGATAAAAAACAAACAAACAAAAATGTGGTCAGTAGAACAGGTTATAAAATGAAAAAGGCAGCTCACAAGGAATTCCATTAGTGCTGGTGAAGTCTCCATGGGAAGAGCTTTGCAAAGCAGTTCCAAAGATAACCTGAGTCCTTTGTTAATGGTGCAAGGTCGGAGCCATTCATTTATTCAGCTAGCCAGAGAGTAAACAGAAAGTGAATGCCAGTGTGGCAGAATCAGAAATGAATCCAGTTTATCTGGCAGAGAGATACTGGTAGAGGAAGGACCTGAGAGTGGGGCTAGGGGATGCACAGAAGGGAGAAAGCAGGTAAGAGAGTGTGCCAGTCAGAAGGACAGGGCAGCACCATCACGTGCTGCTGAGAGCTCAAAGAAGACAACATCTGATGAGAGGCTGTTGCCTCTGGACTGCACGGTTGCTGCTAACCTTGGCCTGAACCATACCAGCTGAGTGGAGGGGATCAGAGCAAGGGGTGGGAAAGGTCACGCAAAGGCAGCAGAAAAGAGAGCCAGCGCAGGGCCCTCCTGAGCACACGGTCCAGGGTAGGGGCCCTGGCTTCCCAGCACTCAGGACAGAAAAGGTACTGAAAAGGACAGATGAGTGAGCCAGATGCAACTAAGAGAAGTGGAAGTGGCCTAGGTCTGTGAGCAAGCATCCTGGGATTCATCTCAGGAATGGTTTTCAGGCTGTAAGGCAAGCAATCCCCCCCCCCCCCACCTAGGAAGTAGAAGGTAGTTAGTTGTATTGCCTGTGAGCAGAAACCATGGTGTGCCAATGGTGATGGTCAACGTTATGTCAAGTTGCCATCCTAGACAATTGCAGTCTTTTTCCCCATCTCAGTGGGTATTATCACCTATGTGATAGCACACGCAGGATACCTGGGAGTCATTCTTGGCCCCTCTTTCTCACCTCCCATTATCTACCAGCAAATGTTATCACTTCCACCTTTTAGATCCACCTGCAGCCCATTTCCCTCTCATCCAAACTCTCTTTACCTCTTTCTTAGCCTTTCCACTCATTTCCTAATTACCCTGATTTCTCTTGCCACCCCCCACCCCCAGCTAGTCTCACAGCAAGAGATTGTAACAGCAGTAATCTTAGTACCATGTTTCCCTGAAAATAAGACACTGTCTTATATTTATTTTTTCTCAAGAAGACACACTAGGGCTTATTTTCAGGGGATGTCTTCTTGTTATTAAGTATAATACAATAATATACATTTATTCAAATACAGTTAAGTCATCTTCTTCTGGAACCTGACATGGGGACCCAACCTTGTTGGTGGGGCTGGCGCTAATGATATGTAAACTCCTTTCCCTTAGCCGTTTGCACGTGTGCAATAGGATACCTGCAACCACGGTTACCACACTCGCACCCGCGCAAGTGTGAACAGCTCCAACGGCTCAGAGAAAGGAGCTGTGGCAGATAAAAGGTATTCCAGTTTTCCTTACCGGCTCCGTGCTTAAATGCAGATACATTGCATAGCCATGCCCATCACTAGGTCTTATTATCAGAGTAGACCTTATTTAACAAATGCATAGAAATCCTGCTAGAGCTCATTTTTTGGGTAGGTCTTATTTTTGAGGAAACACGGTAAAACAAGGTAAAACATGTCCAGACCACGACATGTCCCAGGTCTGGACCCTTGATGGCCTCCCTTCTGTCCTCAGAATAAAGGCCAAATCTTTAATGTGGCCTACAAACCCATTTATGATCTGGCCCTTTTCAGTTTCAATCCTCTGCCCTCATACTCTTTTTATTTTTTGAGACAGAGTCTCACTTTGTTGCCCTTGGTAGAGTTCTGTGGCATCACAGCTCACAACAACCTCCAGCTCTTAAACCATTCTCTAGTCTCAGCCTCCAGAGTAGCTGAGACTACAGGTGCCTGCCACAACACCCGGCTTTTTTGTTGTTGTTGTTGCAGTTTGGCTGGGGCTAGGTTTGAACTTGCCACCCTCGGTATGGGGCCAGCGCCCTACTCACTGAGCCACAGGCGCCACCATGCCCTCATACTCTTTTTTTTTTTTTTTTGAGACAGAGCCTCAAGCTGTCCCCCTGGGCAGAGTGCCGTGGCATTACAGCTCACAGCAACCTCCAACTCCTGGGCTCAAGGGAGTCTCCTGCCTCCGCCTCCCAAGTAGCTGGGACTACAGGCGCCCGACCCAGCTATTTTTTGGTTGCAGCTGTCATTGTTGTTTGGCGGGTCTGGGCTGGGGATTCGAACCCGCCACCTTAGGTGTACGTGGCTGGCGCCTTAGCCGGTTGAGCTATAGGCGCTGAGCCCTCATACTCTTTAAGTTTCACTCCTTTCAGCTCGCAGCCTGTGGCTCAAGTGGCTAAGGCGCCAGCCACATACACCTAAGGTGGTGGGTTCGAATCCCCAGCCCGGGCCCACCAAACAACGATGGCTGCAACCAAAAAATGGCCGGGTGTTGTGGCGGGTGCCTGTGGTCCCAGCTACTTGGGAGGCTGAGGCAGGAGACTCGCTTGAGCCCAGGAGTTAGAGGTTGCTGTGAGCTGTGATGCCACAGCACTCTACCCAGGGGGGACAGCTTGAGGCTCTGTCTCAAAAAAAAAAAAAGTTTCACTCCTTTCATTTTTAAAAAATACATAATTTAAAGAAGTTTTTCTGAGCCAAATATATGTGACCAGCCTAAAGCATATGGCCTCAAGAAATCTTGAGAAAATGTGCTTGCAGTAGCCACTCTGGAATTTCTTAGTCCTTCCCTCTCTCCTAGTTTTTGCACACTTGTGTCCAAAATGGCATGCCCTTTTTCCTTCTCTCAGGTTACTCCTACTTATTCTCCTAACTTAAAAAACCAAATAAACCTGAGGTATGGTTTACATACAATAAGACTCATCCTTTATTCATCCTAAACCACACATCGTTCTGTGAGGTTTGAGAAATCCATACAGTTCTGTAATTACCATCACAACCAAGATAGAGAATAATTCCATCACCTTCAATCTCTCATGCCCCTTTGTAGCCAACACTAGTTCCCATCCCCCAGCTTCTGGAAATCACTTATCTGTTTTCTGTCTTGCATTTTATTGAATGTCCTATAAATGGAATCATTCAACATGTACATAGCCCTTTGGGACTGGTTTTTTTATAGCAAGCATAATGCATTTGAGATTCATCTATGCTCTGTTTTGTGTATCGACGTCTATTTCCTCTTTAATGCAGAGTAGTATCCTGTTGTATAGATATACTACAATTTATCCATTTACCAGAGGATAGGACATCAACGTGTTTTCCAGTTTTCGACAATTGTGAATAAAGTTGCCATAAACATTTGTGTACAGGATTTTGTGTGCACAAAGTTTTCATTTCATTCGAAGAAATACCTAGTGGAGGTACTGCTGTTATGTGTAACTTTATAAGTAAGAAACTGCTACCCTGTTTTCCAGAGTCGCTGTACGAATTTGTATTTCCAGCCACAATATGAGAATTCCAGTTGCTCCACATGCTCACCAGCAGTTGTTTGGTCTCTTTATTAAAGTAATTTATTATTATTATTTTGCCATCCTACTAAGTACATATTGGTATATTATTGTGGTTTTAATTTCCACTTCCTTGATGACTGGCGATATTGAGTCTACTCATTCTTTTGAATCGCTGCTTGGTCTTCATTTGTTCCAAGAAGTGACGGCTCACTCTACAATCTAAGTTCCTGTCCTCCTCTGTGGTTCCGTGACGATCAACATTTAGCTTCACCTTGGCCTTAACCCACTCAACCACAGTTGTTTTTCCGTTCCCTCCCGACCCACGGCTCTCTCTCCCTCACGCACAACCCCTCCTCCCCTGTGTGCCCCCTGAGGGCAGAAGCAGAATCTTAGTTCGGTTACCAGTATCTTTAGCTCCCAGCACAGTCCTGAAACACAATCTCCGTACGATAAATATTAAATGAGTGAATGAACAATTGCTGAACAAATTGGATGAATGAACGTAGGTAGTTAGGCACAGGTATCGTAATCGAACTGGACTGGCTGTGTCAGTTAACCCTTTCTCTGTCCCTGCCTCGCACTTAGTAAGCTTGCCTTCAAAACCGCGGTAGCGAGTACCCGAGTATTTATGATGACGCCACTGACCACGCGATCCAAGAGGAAGGAGCGGGAGGAAGGGAGGAGCCGGAAGCAGAACCGCCGCCGGGAGTTAGCGGCGCCTCAGTTGCCATGGAGACCAGATGGTCTAGAGGGTCTGCCCCGGCCTCGCCCTACGAGTACGTGGATACGACGTGGGCTTCAACCCCGCATTCAGATGGGTCCAGAAACCTCGGCAAGCCCTCCGGTACCTACTCCGAGGGGTACTACCATAGCTTCGCTAGCAGGCCCAGCCGCTTCCCTCAGGGCTCCGAGCCGCAGCTGCTTCGCCTGCGCCCCTCCTCGCGGCGCACCCAAGACATCTCCCACTTGCTCACCGGCGTCTTCCGCAACTTGTACTCGGCTGATGTAATCGGCGAGGACTTGAGCACAAGTCTGATCAAGGCCCGCGGCAGTGAGAATGCTGTCCACCAGGCGTTCGTGGATGAGCTGCAGCAGGTAACGCGGCCCCGGAGCCCCGCGCTGCGGTTGTGGCCGGGGACCCAGGGCGCGCACGCAGGACGCAGCGGCGCTGGATGCGTGTTGGCGTCTGTGAAGGCCAGGCGTTGGCTGGGCCTCCGGGGATGCAGCTGGGAAAGAGCAGATCAAGTTCATGCTCCAGTGGATCGTGCTCTAGTGGAAGGACACTGTGTTCACACACGTATCTGTAACACTATGTCTGGTTCACCACACACACATACACACATTAGATATTGCATATATAATTAAATGAAGCAGCTGGGCAGACAGCTGAATCGTTTTCTGGAGGTGATAAAACTGAAAGTCATCCCCTTTTGGGGTATCTTGTATCACAAACCACAACCATAACTGAGACATTCCTGCCCAGATTTTAGAAAGCATGCCCAATCTCTGGGACAGCAACTCTTGCTTGAATCGTCTGCACACGGAGGAAACCAGCGGACTTGGGTCCTCTGTGGAGTCTGCTTTTGCTGGCCAGACAGCTGTTGCCTCTCTTAAACTTGAGAGCACTCTTCCTCCACCTCAATCCCTTATCCCGTTTGTCTCCTGCCTCCCAGATCTTCCTTTTTCTTCTCTGCTCCATTCCATCCTCTACCTGCCCCATAAATGATATTCATCCCACTCTAGACCTTCATTCATTCCTTCATTTAACACGTTTGTGGAATGTCTACTATATGCTGTATTCTCTTCCGGGCTGTGGGATTCAGCAGGGAATCAAATCTGAGTGTGCAGGCTCGCACACGCAACCTGTCCTCTGTAGCTTACTATCTAACTGGGGGTAGATAGACATTAACAAAATGCATATCTATATAATAAGTGAGATACTGATGGGATAAGTCTCAGTCCCTCCCTGGGTTATAGGCTTCTTGAAATCCAGCCAGGGTCCACGGATGGAACCTCTGCACTGTTCCTCCTGGCCTACCATATACTCTCTGCTAAGATTTTAGCCTACCCAGGCCACACCTTGTCCTTGAACTTCTAACTCACAATCCTGTCATTCACATGAGCCAGAATATGTGGAGCATTATAAACCTATAAATCCAATGGCTGGTCATCCAGTTCATTAGATTCAACCTCCATAATATCTCTTCCATGAGTAGCCACTATACCTGGGTCTGAACTGGCAAATAGAGACCCTTCTTTTTGGAAAAAAAGGAAAAGAAAAATGTGAATTTATTTGAAGATAAAGGTAATACATGTTCATTACAAACATTTCAGAATGCAGAAAACCTTAAAGAGTAATCCCATAGAAAAAGAACTTTGCCAAGATAGGTTGACTTTATCAATTATGATATATCCACTGTAGAATACTATGAAGTTGTTTTAAAAATGAATTATACCTATATTACAGACAACTGGTGGCCGTTTATTTTTTATTTATTTTTTTAGAGATTCTAGGCTGAAATGCAGTGGTGTGATGACAACTCACTGCAACCTCAAACTCCTGAGCTCAAACGAGCCTTCTGCCACAGACTCCTGAGTAGTTAAGACTATAGGAGAGCACCACCATGCCTTGCTAATTAAAAAAAAAAAAAAAGTTGTAGAGATAAAGTCTCAGTATGCTTCCCAGGATGGTTTTGAACTCTCATGTTCAAGTAATTTTTCTGCCTTAGCCTCCCAAGTTGTTGGGGTTATAGGTGTGAGCCACCCAGTTGCCGTTTATTAATTTAGCAAAAGAGTCATAAAGGAATGTTATGATAATCTCATTTATTACAATACTACATATATGCATGGGAAAAAGCTGAAAAGTTTTTTTCCTATCAGTATGTTAACAACGTTGTCAGGGGGCATTTAAACTTATGTTTGCATACTTCTATATGTATTGTCTAAACTTCTACAATGCACATAAGTTAGTTTTATTATTACAAAAAAGAAACTTTGAAAAGAGCAGGCTTCTGTCATTCCACTTCTGTGATTCTACTGTTCTGATACTTACACATCTCTCTTTCCTTTTTCCTCTTCCCTTCTTTACTCTCTCTTCATTTGTCTGTGGATGTCATGGCCATATGACTACACAGGACTAGAATTCATTCTCCCTGAGAGAAATAATAATTATCATTCAATATGGAGTGTCTCTCTTGACTGAGTTCTCCCGTGGACAACCTCCTTGGCTGCTGGTCTTCCCCAGCTCCACCTATAGAAGTAATGTATAGTCTAATGATTAAGAGCAAATGCTCCTGAACTGTATGTACATCCTGGTTCAAATCCTGGGTCCTGGGCTTGGCATCTATAGCTCAGGGGCTAGGGCACAGCCACATACACTGGAGCTGGATGGTTCGTATCCAGCCAAGGGCCTGCCAAACAACAATGACAACTATAACCAAAAAATAGCCAGGCTTTGTAGTGGGCGCCTGTAGTCCCAGCTACTTAGAAGGCTGAGGCAAGAAAATTGCTTAAGCCCAAGAGTTTGAGGTTGCTGTGAGCTGTGATGCCATGGCACTCTACCCAGGGTGACAGCTTGAGACTCTGTCTCAAAAAAACAAAACAAAACAAACAAACCCTGGGTCCACATACCCCGTGCGTGACCTTAGGCAGTTCTTACTTATATATGCCTCAGTTTCTTCATCTATCCCTATAAAATGGGAATAATAGTAATAGTAATATCCACTCCATAGGTTTTGAGGATTAAGTAAGTCAATACAGTAAAGCATTTACAACATTGAGCATTTACACCATAGTAAGTACTTGGTAAGTGATAGTTAGCTACCTCCTTTTGGCCTTCATTATATCCTTATTCATATACTATCATAGCACTTTTAGGACTCTATTTCACTTATTTGTATCCTTGCCAGGTCCCTCCTGCTAAAATATAAATGTTTAGTAAGCAGAAACCTTATCTGGTTCCTATCTCTCCCACAATGTACATGGTAAATACACATTATTAAAAGAATGACTAAATAGACATCTGAGGTCCTACCAGCTCTAGATACAAGCAACACCAGCCCTTGTACAACCTTTTATATTTTTTGAGAGATGAGAGTCTTACTGTGTTGCCCGGGCTGGCTTCGGACTCCTGAGCTCAAGAGATTCTCCTGCCTCAGCCTCAGACTCAGCCTCCCAAGTAACTGGAAGTACTGGATTGTGCCACCACATCCAGCTAATACAGACTATCTTTCAAGCTATTTTCTGCCTATAGAAGCCTAAACTAGAAAATATGAATTAGAAGTTTGGCTGGCTGATTAGTCAACTAATGGTCTTGAGTATGTTGGATATCCAGGGTGGACTCTCTGGGCTCTGATGCTATGAGAGAGTTTGGGAGGCAAGATGTTTCTTAGTAATCAACACCTATGAAGGAAAGAGAGAGAACAGGATTGATCCATGAAGAAGTTGAACTGTGATGGGCACCCAACAAACCTTGGAAGTGCAGCAGATTGCTCTGGAGAGAGTATTGCTTGCCAAAGTTTCTTTCTTTGTGTCAAAATGGCCAGACGTTACATTCCTGCCTCTCTCAGTCACAGATGTGGGTGCTACAGAAAGGACATGGTCTCAGGCAAGCCCGTACTAGCAGCTTAGGTAGGCTCTGGGGGGCTGTCTATTGATTACACTCCCTGTAACTAGGGAGCAAGTCCTTCCTTGAATAGGGGTCTAGATGACAGCACAGGTAGTGTGCTAACTTATACTTAGTATGTCACAGTTTGAAAGGCAGCTTTTTTTTGCTATGGAGCCAGGAGACAGGTTACCAAGCTTGACTCCGTTACTGACCTTGCTGTGAAAACTTTAAGTCATTTCCCTTCATGGGTTTGGTTTCCGTTTTCACATCTAGTAAGTTGGACCAGATAGTTATGATAGTTCATTGGCTATTCTCTTGTGCTTCACTGTAAGCCCTGATGCTGCAGTGCAGTTGAGTAAAGCTATGTAATCTCACTATATTTCTGTGCTCATTTGATCATTTACTCACCAGATTCGGGAACTCTATAAGCAGAGACTGGATGAAGTTGAAATGTTGGAGAGACATATCATTCAGGCCCGTGCACGGGCCCTGGCAGAGAAGGAGCGGGCCATGACCCAGGCCAAAGTACATGTCCTTCAAGACTCTGTCAAGTTGCCTCCAGGTGTGTATAAAGAACTCCCATATAGGGCGGTGCCAGTGGCTCAAGTAGTGGGATGCTGGCCCCATATACCAGAGGTGGTAGGTTCAAACCTGGCCCCAGCCCAAAGCTGCAACAACAACAACAAAAGAACTCCCATTTGCCTGCCACTGATTTCCCAGGTGATAAAATTTTATTGTATTCACTCCATTGCCCACTTCTGGTCCTTTTCTGAATATTTGGACAGCAAGTTGCAGACATGTTTCATTATCACAGAACACTCTTTTGTGCATATGTCCAGAGCAAGGATACTCGTACACATTCAACATCCAACCTCCAAACCAAAAAATTGACATTGGTGCAAGACTAATCTTTGACCTGCAGATCCCTTTTAACCTAAGTAACAGAGAGAGGCTCTCTAAGGAAATAGGGTATTTATTTGGGAAGGGGCGCTGCAATGAGAATATGCATGTGATGGTAAACTGGGTGCATACTGAAGGAAGTAGAAGAAGACAAAGGGTTATAAAGGAATAACGTGAAAGATTGTGGAATTGTTTTGAGATAATTATCCTTGACTATAAGAATCAGTAACAAGGATGGTGCCAGTCTGAGAAAGGGTGGACAGGCAATTACTGAGCAATTTTTTGTGTGTGTAAGGTTATGATGACCTTTATGCAAAATTGTGGGTTTTGCAAATTCTCTTGTGATGGCTCTTGTTATTAGGCATTTGTGCTTGAGAACTCTCCCTTCAGGGCCTTCCCCAAATCCACTAGTCAAGGTTTTTAACACTAGTAACTCCATTTTGAATCTGGCAGCTTTCACAGCCTATTCAAATTTCACTAGCTGTCCCTCTGTGGCTCTGTTGTCTCTGGCCCAGGATCCTATCCAGGAAGTTATTGTCATGTCTCTTTTATGGACTCCTTTGTTTGGAACAATTAATTGATTTTTTTTCATGCCTTTTATGTTCTTAACAGTTGTTGGTGGGCCTTTTATTCTGTATAGTGGTTCTACCTGATAGTTTCCCCATGACCAAACTCAGGTCATGCATCCTGGGTAGCAATATCACATAAATTCTTTGTTCTTCTCACTGTGGCACATTAAGAGGCACAGGTGGTATTTACCTCCATCATCTGGGCAGGTTAGAATCTTCCAAAGTTCTCCACATTAAATTCTCCAACTGAAATTATAATTGATTAGCATTTTGTGGAGAAGTATTCTCAGATTACACGAATGTCTTGCTCCTCATCTTGGCTCCATCATCAAACCACCAGCATTCACTGAAAACTCTCTTTTTAATCAACTATCTCTATGGCAGTATTTTTTTTAAAGTAGATTATTTGTTGAAGAAATTGGTTTGTTTTTCTTATAGATTTGTCCGTAGTCTGGATTTTACTGATCTTAGCATTGGGCTACCACTTAACTTGTTCTTAGGATCCCTGTATTTCCTGTAAGTCAGTAATAAATTCTAGAGCAGGGGTCCTCGAACTTTTTAAACAGGGGGCCAGTTCACTGTCCTTCAGACTGTTGGAGGGCCGGACTGCGGGCCCTGGGACAAGTCGGCTGCTAAGCAGGACAGGCAGCGGTGGCAAAAACACCTGGCGGGCCAGATAAATGTCCTAGGTGGGCTGCATGTAGCCCGCAGGCCGTAGTTTGAGGACGACTGTTCTAGAGACTTTGTGAGGTTTAGGTCCAATTGTGGTGGGAAATCCACTTCATAGATAGTACTGTGTGCTCCATTCAGGGGGCACATGATATCTGTTTTTTTCTTTTTGGATGATTCTGGCAGCCTTTTATTTTATTAGGGCTTATAAATTGTAATGAAATGATAATGATAATGATAATTCTAACATTTCTTTTTTATTTGTCAGCTGAAATACTTTGTTTTTAAAATAAAAAGTTATTTCTTTTAGCATCTTCCAGAGGTGATTAAGAATATTTGTTTGGTTGTTTTGGTATCATTTTGAGCTCATAGATTTTATGAATACAATTATGTTTATTATCTTTGTTGATGCTCCTCTTTGGCCAATGAGCCTTTGCAGGTTGACTCTTGACTGTCATAATAATCAGTTGTCTTTAATAACTTCCTTGCTTTCTTGAATGGTGAGATGTTCCAGGCTCATCTTGGGTGTTTCTGGCTCCCAACCTGGAATCAGGCATTTTTCCAGGAAGCTCTGGTTCCTTTTACTCCCTACCCCCAACCAAAGACTTTGATCTATCCTCCTGCACTCCTGAAAATTATAATTTAGGAGACATACGCAGCCTAAAGGGAAGGATATAGAAGAAGGGAGAAAGGGAAGAAATAGTGCCTTAGACATTTACACTTGTGGGAGCCTGCTAGGGACCATATGCTATATAAGTTGCATAGGTTATCCCACTGAATCCTTCCTATTATTAAAATAATGAGTTGTGAGGTAGGTTTTCTTCCATTTTATGGGTACAGGAATTAAACAGATGATCAAATAACTTCCCCAAGCTCAGAAGGAATGGGGCCCGGAATTGAGTTTAGGTGTGTTTGCTGTCAAACTCATCTCTTTTTTCTTTCAGAAGGAGGCAGGCTGTCCACCGGGTACAGTGTTTTTGGGTGCTGATGACTTCCTTCAGGGTGTGGCTCGGAGCAGAAGCCCTGTGGTTTGTGAGGCATGCCAACTGTGGGGCTCAGGTCTTTGACAGTGAACTCTCAGGCACAGATGAGCCATCTCTGCCTGTTGCCCCACCACCACCACAGCAGAGTTGAGCTGCCAGAACCCTTAGATTGTGGTTCAGATAATGATGTGGATTTCAGCAGAGATTATTGGTAGCAAATTTCCAGGAGTCTTTATTCCTGATTATCTGATGTCCTCAGAGACCTGAGAGTGGGATACTATCCCTGTCATTTTTTTTTTTATTTACTTTTGGCTAGAGATAAGAGGACATTAAATAATTAACTATTTGGGTTTTGAAAAATAAAAGTGAAATAAAACATTGAGAACTGGGAGACAAACACCAGTCAAAAGTTCTTCAAAAAATAAAAATTCATTTTATTTTTTATGTAAGAAAATATAAAGTTATAAACAGACATTATCTGCCATTTCTCAGCCTTCTGCTGATAATATGACTTTCTTTTATTTCAGAAGTAGCAGAAGTAGAGACCTTAATTCAACTCCACAGATACGCCTCTGGTCTCTGCTTCTCAGAGCAGGGCGAGGTGACTCTTTTATTACTAAGATAACTGTAGCAAGGACAGTCCCCTAAAACTTTTCTCATTTGAGACACAGAGGCAGCCTTTCTCTGTTCACTGATTAAAAGGTCACAAAGTGGAAAAAGTACATAAATTCTCAGATAGAGGGAGAAAGATGATAAATTCTGAAGAATATCTTGTGCTTTCATTCCCTTCCCTTGCTGGCAACTTATCCATATTATCTTCTGGAGAGTGGAATAGCCAACACCTTGTAGAGCCAGGCTTGGGAGCCATAGGGTCAGTGTAGGAAGCTCACCCTTTCCAGATGAGAGAAGATGGTTAAAAGGCCAGTCCAAGGTTTCCAAGGCACACCTGGGACATGTCCAGGACTGACAAGGAGAGACGTTTTCCTAATGGCTGACAAAATGACCCCAACTTCTGCAGACTAGCACCTAACCACCCATAGCCTGGGGGAGGACTGTGAAGAGAATGGTGTCCTGATGAGAGAGGATACATCTCCTTGTCACGTGGCCTTTGCCTTTTGTATGGAAGTCTTATCTTTTGGTATTTCAAATAGGCCATCACCAAAGCCCTTGAGAACTGGGCTGGACTGTGTCAATTTGGCATTGCTGCTACTCACTGCTAGCCATGCAGAGACAAGGGACTACACTTCTCAGAAAGGTCTTCCCCACTATGGTTCCTGAGAGGTTTAGGGATAGAATCTGGCCAGGGTCCTCAAGAAAGAAAGGAGGCCAGTATAGGGATTAAAGGTAGGCTTTCTTTTGAAGGAGCAGAATGGAGTCTGACAACAGACTCCCTAACACAGTTTCAAGGGACTTTATTAGTGTTGTTAGAATATGGGAGGGGGTCATGAGAGGTGAGAGAAGTCATCTTTCCTGCAGAGTGAATGAGACTGTGTCTGAAACTGATTTTAGAATTATTGCCTTCCACAAAAGGTGTTAATCTTGCACAAAGGTTTTATCTCTAGTACCACCCAGGACCAGAGTAGGAGATTCTGATGCTTCCAGAAGCACCGGCCTTGAAGCATTTCAGGAGGGTAGAGAGGGGGGTTACTGTGACCATGCCATTTGTTCTCTGATCTGCTTTCTGTCATTAGCTGTCTCCCAGAATGGCAATATTCTTGTCAGGGTCATGAGGATTTACAGGAGTATGGGAAGGGAGTTGCTGTAATCATGAAATTTGGTTTCTGGCCCCCTTTCTTTAGCTACCTATCTCCCAAATAACTGTTCTTTTGCCAGCGTCCTGAGGATTTCCTCCCCACAGTTCCAGCATAGGTCAGATGATGAGAGGCTCTTGGTGAGTTTTGGAAAGGAAAAGTCATTATTCTCAAGAAGCAGTAACAAGCAGGTGATTTAGTGGCCATGAGTTTTGAAGCAACTGCTAGATAACTTCTTGAGAAACCCCTGCTTTAGTGTTGCTTGCTGAGGTTGTTAGTGATATTTTTAGTCTGTGTTGCTATAAAGGAATACCCCAGGCTAGGCTGGGTAATTTATAAAGAAAAAAAAGTTGACTTGGCTTATGATTCCACTGACTGGAAGATTGGGAATCTGATGAATGCATCACATGGCTGCCACTCAGGGCAAAAGGCAAAGGGGAACTGGCCTGGGGAGCGATCACTCGGCAAGAGAGCAAGTCAGAGTAAGAGTGCAGATTCCAGGCTCTCAAGGGAGCGAACAACAGACTGAGAATCCACTCCCACCCAGCCCAGGGAAAGCATTAATTATTTTTTGAGGGATCCACCCTCCTGACCTAAACACCTCCCATTAGGCCTCACCACCAACGTTGGGGATCAAATATCAACACCATGTTTGGCGGGACAAATATCTAATCTATAGCAGATGGCTCCCAGACCTTCTTTCCCTCACTCTATAGTCCCCTGTATTAACTTTATATGTGACATACGTAAAGTGGTTTTAAGAGGACAGAGGTAACTCCACTTTGTAAAAACCTGCCACAGAGTATCCTGTAAAAAGTTCCCACCCACAGAAAGCTCCCGGCCCTAAGAAATTCCTCAAATTCCGCGAAATGCCAAACCCTTGGAACGCCCCTCCTGGAACCCAGCCAATCAGACCAACCCCTGCGACCTCCAGTAGCAATGTTCTCCTGCATTTTTTTCCATCCCATAATATGCACCCCCTTTTAAAGAAAACAGACAATAGCAAGGCGCGCTCTCAGCCCGGACCTAGCTGCTGTGTCAGGTCCCTGAGAGCCCAAGCTCGAGCTTGAATAAAGACTCTTTGTTTTTGCATCGGACTCAGCTCCCTGGTAGTTTTTGGGGATTTCGAGATCTGGGTATAAAAGTTTCTGTTTTTCTGACTAAACACCATCTGTTACAGTAACTAGGCCAAACCTCAAAATTCTCAATTAATATAAATGATGGGGGGAACATGTATTCTTCACTTATCTCATCTACATCCTTGCCTCCTAAGGGAAAGACCATTCAAAGGCACCATGTGTCAAGATAATGTTGATTAACAGACTAAGCAACAAAGTTTGAAAACATCTAACTCTTTCATTTATCCTATTTATACCTTAATTTTTATTGAAGTAATAAGTATACTTTTTTTTTTTATTTTGAGACACTCTGTTGCCCCAGGCACAGCAACTTTAAACTCCTGGGTTCTAGCAATGCTCTTGCCTCAGCCTCCAAGTAGCTGGGATTAGCTAGAGGCACCTGTTATAGTGCTCTGCTAATTTTTCTATTTTTAGTAGAGATGGAGTCTCACTCTTGCTCAAGCTGGTATTGAATTCCTGAGTTCAAAGAATCTTCCCATCTCAGCTTCCCAGAGTGCTAGGATTAAAGGTATCAGCCGGGCAGCGCCTATGGTTCAAAGGAGTAGGGTGTTGACCCCAAATGCTGGAGGTGGTGGGTTCAAGCCCAGCTCTGGCCAAAAACTGCAAAAAAAAAAAAAAAAAAGGCATCAGTCACCATGATCAGCCAATATACATGATTTTTAAAAATCAAATAGTTGAGAAGAAATTCTAATGAAGCATAAAAAGCCTCTACCTATAGATATCATTATAAATTTATCCAAATGCATAGAATATATAGCAACACCAAGCGGAAACCCTAGTATAAAACTTGGACTTTAGGTGATGATGATGTGTCAGTTTAGTTTCATGGGTAATAACAACATACACTCTGGTGAGGGATGTTGATAATGGGGGATGCTGTGCCTGTATGTGGGAACGGGATACATGGAAAATCTCTGTACCTTCCTCTCAGTTTTCCTGCGAACCTATAACTGCTTTAAAGAAAGCCTATTTTTTAAAAACCCTCCACCTTACCTCTCCTACCATCTGTTCACTTGCTGAAAGTAGCCATTTCTAGTTTTCTGTATACCTACAAATAATGTTATTTATATCTTCTATAAATGATATGGTTTTGCTACTATTTCTGAGCTCATCAACCATGTACATTAACAATCAGCTTCCCACTCTCTTAGATGAGGTTCTGTCTGTCATGCATCTGCAGGTCAGTGGGGGATTGGCTGATCTGACTGGGCCTGGTTTGCTGAACTGGCTTTAAGCTGTGGCTCTAGTGGGTATAGCCCTTGCTCCATTGGGCTCAGGTCTGCTCCTCTTGCATTCATCATGGGTTCAAGAGGAAGGGCAGGGAAGCTCCTATCACAATGACAGCAGAGGCGCAAGGGGGAGGGTTTGGCTGTACAGGCACCTTCTAGACTTAGCCAATATTTTGTTGGCCAAAGCATGTCACAGGGCCAAAATTGAGCGTGAAGAAGTATACTTTGTTTCTAGCAGCAGGGAGTGCAGAGTCTCATGGCAAGGAGCCTGGTTACAGAGAAGGTGAAGAATTGGGGCCATTTCTTCCATCTGACCTACTTCTCTTAATTCTATTTTGTGATAGCCTTCTCTGAATAACAAGATCTTAGCCCAAATAATACCATACACAACTTTGCCTAGAGTTTGGACTCTTTTAAAAAGTGACAGAATATTACTTAATGATTAGTTTCTTAAATGTCAACATTTTCATGGGGCTCTGAGAAGGAATTTTGTTAAATGGCCTAAGTGTGAAGGATGAAGAAAGTTTGAGTGCAGGTTCTTCCACATCAGTCTGAAACACCTTTGTCCTCTCCTTCCCTTCTGTATAGTGAAGACTGTTTTCAGATGGTGTGTAGACAGCCAGTTGCTACAGAAACATCATTTGATCTGCCCAGAAGATTACTACAGTGATACCGTGCCATTTTGCTCTGCACCTAAAGGTAATGAATGCCTCTGTGGTCTCTCAGAGCTTCTGATATCATTCCAGGGAGTAGCGGGGTCACACTGGCCATCTATACTGCCATTTACTTCCTCATAGTTTTGGGGGTTTTTTCTTGCTTTAAAAAAGTTTTTTTTTTTTTTTTTTTTTTGAGACAGGGACTCATGCTCTGTCATCTGGGCTAGAGTAAAGGGGCATCATCATAGTTCACTGCAGCCTTAAACTCCTGGGCTCAAGCAATCCTCCTGCCTCAGCCTCCCAGGTAGCTGGGACCACAGGCATGTGCCACCATGCCTGGTTGATTCTTTATTTTTATCTCTTTTCAGAGAGACAAGGTCTCACTATTTTGCTTAGGCCGGTCTTCAATTTCTTCTCAGCTTTATAGCTGAGAAGGTGTTTGGTGTGAGAGGATTGGTATCCGGAGAATTGAGGGTGCTGAGGAGAAGTGTTCCATGGATGGCCTGAGCTGCATAGGGCAGTAGGGCCAAAAAGACATAGCTGAATCAAGTATCATGGGTGCTAAGCCACTTTAAAGTTAGTTAGTTGGAAACCCAGCATCTCATGCAGGTAAATAAGAATATAGCTAACATGTTGAGGATAGGCATTGTGCTAAGAAATCTGTGGTGCTGCCAGTTTCCTTGCATTCTTGCTAGCCATGAATGTTCTCATTTAACCTTTGGGGGATGATCTTATAGATATACAAAGCTAATGCAAACTTTTATTCCTTGTGTGAACTTTTCAAAACGCATCCTCATATATGGGGTATGTGTCCACGTGTGTGTACGACAGTGGTCTGCTCACAGTCTTTGACTGGGTTGGAAAACTGGGAAATATTTTAACACTCTAGTCCTACATCTTAAATATATAGAATAAGTTCCAGGAATAATTCATATGCTGAAGAGCAAATACATCCGGTACGGTAAAGGTGAAAGCTTAAGAGAAAATATCAAGCTAACTGTGGCTTTGGTGGTTTTATTTGGTCATCTTAGAAACATCCACCTCCTCACCTTAGTACAGTAATTCATTTCCTTGGTGTCACAGGAAACTTCCTCCCTGGATATTCAAAACTGACATTTAGTTGTGAGATGCGTTCTGTCCCAAAGAAAGATCTGGACAAGAAGCCTGATGTTTCCTGCAAAAAGCTTAATACATTTGAAGATGATTTAGACTACACTGTAGACAGCCTGACATGGGACTCAACTCCTAAGATCAAACAAAGGAGCCCAGAAACTGTCAAGGTTAGTTGAAGCCTGTGCACAGCAGTGTGTGTGGGCAGTGGGGACAGGGAAGCAGTGAGGGGGAAGGAGCTCAGATGACACCAAAAGTTGTTATGATCCTCAATAAAGTAGAGTTTGCATTGGCCTGCTGGGGTCATGCATTTGGTCAATATGTAAACATGCACAGTCCTTTTAACTCTCACTGACTCTATACTATGGTGTGTTTCAAAGAGAGCAGTTTCAGCAAAAAATAAAAAATGGATGAACCACTTACGTGTGCCACAGAGAGAACTAGAGCGACTTTTGCTTGCCAGAATGGAGAGTCGGAACCAATTCCTAAAAAACCCTCGGTTTTTCCCTCCTAATACTCCATATGGAGGCAAGTCTCTTGTTTTTCTACCAAAGAAGCTGGCACAGGGTGTAGAGCAAGAACAAAGGTATGTCTTTTTGTTGTTGTTGTTAAATCATAACTGTGTACATTAATTCATTTGTGGGGTACAATGTGCTAATTGATAGATAAGTTGGAATGCTTACATGAAACTGGTTAACATAACCTTCACCTCACTTACTTATTTGTTGTGTTAAGACGTTTAGACTCTATTCATAGTTTTGACATGTACCCTTGCATTGTGCATATTAGGCGAGGTCCCACCAAATATCCTCCCTCCTCCCGCCCCCACCTCCTCTTCCCTCTTTTTTTCTAAACCAGTGGTTCTCAACCTTCCTAATGCCGCAATGTATTTTTATTGTTGAAAAGGGGTCATGACCCACAGGTTGAGAACTGCTGTTCTAGACTATACTATGTCTTTCCTTGACTTGTACTTTCAGAAAATCTGACCCTTTAGAGTAAAACCTAGAAAGTCCTGGGTCTGGTCTGTCTAAGGAGTTCTCTAGACTTTTCTGTGGGAGGGTAGTGGTATCAGAATAGAGTAGGACTTCAGGGTTATCTACAGATGTGGCCTTTGGACATTTCCCAGAGTCCTGGTTTTATGCTTTTCTTACCTGCCAGCATCTTAAGAAATAGAGGTTGGTGTGGCTCCTTATTTATATCTGAGCAATCTGGGTCCAATGCGAGGAATCTAACTATGTGCTCCTTCCATTGGATTCATATGTCTTGGATAGTAATGTTTAAAATTTGATTAGTCACAAAAAATTAGTATAACTGTGGTTTTTCTTTAAGAGAGTGCCTTTGGGCTCAGCGCCTATAGCTCAACCGGCTAAGGCGCCAGCCACGTACAACTAAGGTGGCGGGTTCGAATCCCCAGCCCAGACCCGCCAAACAACAATGACGGCTGCAACCAAAAAATAGCCGGGCGTTGTGGCGGGCGCCTGTGGTCCCAGCTACTTGGGAGGCGGAGGCAGGAGACTCGCTTGAGCCCAGGAGTTGGAGGTTGCTGTGAGCTGTAATGCCACGGCACTCTACCCAGGGGGACAGCTTGAGGCTCTGTCTCAAAAAAAAAAAAAAGAGAGTGCCTTTGCCTATATTTCAGTAATTGTCCTCATGAAAGGAATTAGTTGCTTCATGGGTTCAAAATTTTAGTGAAACTAAAACTATTAACACTTCTTTATTAGGCAAGTAATATTTTGTCATTAAGAAAAATTAGAAAATGGGTGGCACCTGTGGCTCAATGGATAGGGCGCCGGCCCCATATACCAAGGGTGGCGAGTTTGAACAGCTAAAAAAGCAGTGGTAACTGTAACAAAAAATAGCTGGGTGTTGTGGTGGGCGCCTGTAGTCCTAGCTACTCGGGAGGCTGAGGCAAGAAAATCGCTTAAGCCCGAGAGTTGGAGGTTGCTGTGAGCTATGATGCTATAGCACTCTACTGAGGGTGACAGAGTAAAACTCTGTCTCAAAAAAAAGTAAAGAAAAGAAAAATTAGAAAAGATAAATTTAGATGTGAATTTTATTTAATTAATTCATTTATTTTTTTGAGACAGAGTCTCACTTTGTCACCCTTAGTAGAGTGCCACAGAGTCATAGCAACCACAAACTCTTGGGCTCAAGCGATTCTCTTGCCTCAGCCTCCCCAGTCGCTGGGATTACAGGCACATGCCACAACGTCTGGCTATTTTTAGAGGCAAGGTCTCTCTCTTGCTCAGGCTGGTCTAGAACTCAAGAGCTCTGGTAATCTACCTGCACTGGCCTTCCAGAGTGCTAGGATTACAGATGTGAGCCACCACACCTGGCTGGAAACTAATATTTGAAAAAAAAAACAAACACCACGTGTATTAAAAACACAGTTAACATATTGATGTTTCAGCTTCCAGAGTTTTTCCTATGTATATTGAAAATACATGGTTACATATATTTTCACAAAGATTGGATCATACTGTGAAATTCTTTTATAACCTATTTTAACAACAAAAACCAACCCCCTCCACACACACACACAACCCACCTTAGGGTCAGGCATGGTGGGTTAATGCCTATAATCTACCTTTTGGAAGCTGAGGGAGGTTCCCTTGAGGCCAGGAATTTGAGATCAGCCTGGGCAACATAGTGAGACTCTGTCTAGACAAAAACAATTTTAGAAAGATTAGCTGGCCACAGTGGTGCACACCTGTAGTCCCAAATACTGGGGAGGCCGAGGCAGGTGAATTGCTTGGCCTAGGATTCTGAGGTTACAGTGTACTAAGATGAGGCCACTGCACTCTAGCTTGGGTGACAGAGTAAGACCCTGTCTTAAAAAGAAAAAAAAACTAAACTAATAAATGACATATTATGAATATCTTTGATGGCTTAGATGTATTTATTTTTACCTTAGTCAGTCACTACCCAGTATTTCATCATATGGATGAAACTAATGCCCTTTCTTTCCTCTCTTTTTCCTTCCCACAGCTGTGCTGATACTCCAGTATTTCTAGCTAAGCCATCAGTCGGATTTTTCACAGATTATGAAATTGGATCAGTGTATGAGGTAGAAATCTTGTTTCTTCACATATCTCACACATCTGCTTTCTTATTTTTTAAAGTCTTTATTATAAAATGTTTAAAACATACACAAAACTAGGGAAAAGGCTTATAATGACCCCTTGTGAGCCCATCATGCAGCTTTAACAGCTATTAATATCTACATTTTGCCAATCTGATTTCATCTGTTACCCTTACAACCTGTTCATGTGTCTAAGTGCACATGCACACATGAACACACAGGAGTCTTATAAGAAAAGGCTGCACGTTGTGTCATTCTTCTGGTAAATACTTTAATCATCAGTAAGTATCTCTAACAGATAAGGACTTTCACCCATAACACCATCATCACATCCAGCAGTATCTGGCTAATAATCACTCCTTAATATCAATTAATATCAGTTAAGACCAGTCACATCTGATAGTCCCCCATTTGTCAATTTGTTGTTGGTTTTATTTAATCAGAATCTAAACACTGCATTTGATTAAAGTATCTCTTAATTCTCCTGTAATTGATAACAATTCTTCCCCCACGTCTTGCTTTTTTAAAATGCTATTTATTTGTTAAAGAAGCTGCAATTTCTTACATTTTGATTTGGGTAATTGTGTTGTCTATACTATGGGGATATTAAACATCTTCCTTTATATTCCATATTTTCTGTAAATTGATAGTGAGATATAGAGGTTTGATTAGATTCAGATTTAATTTTTTTGGGGGGGGGCAAGAATACTTCTTTGGTGGAACTGCGTATTTCTTATTGCATTCTATCAGGAGGAAGCATGGTATCTGAGTTTCTCATTAACAGTGATGAATGGTGTCAGGTGTTGTAAGCCTGATTTATTCTTTATAAAATTCTTATCAACCTTTTACTTGATGGTCAGCGTCCTTGAAGACTGCAAGATGACTGTTGCCTAGATCCATTTTTTTTAAATTAGGGGTTATAAAATGGTGATTTCTAATTCTATTATTCCTTCTGTATTTATTAGCTGTGATTTTCTATCTTTTTTTATTAAATCATAGCTGTGTACATTGATGCAATTATGGGGTACACTGTGCTGGTTTTATATACTGTTTGAAATATTTTCATCAAATTGGTTAACATAGCCTTCACCGCTTAACTTTTCTTAGTTATTGTGTTAAGATGTTTATACTCTACACGAAGTAAATTTAACATGTACCTTTGTAATGTGATTTTCTATCTTAAAACAAATTCCTTCTGGCTTTTATTCATATGTCTTTCTCCTTGTACTCTCCTTACCTCTATAGACAATTATTTCAGTTAGTTTGAGTTCTTGTTTCTTTTTGAAACCATAAGCAAATATATGTATATATTTGAATCTCCTCTCCTTCGACTGTCCTCTGCACCTTACGTCCAGTTAGTCCCATAACAGCAGTAAATAGAGACTTTCCTCATCCCTTTTTCCCAGCTTCTTTCTTTCTTTCTTTCTTTCTTTTTTTTTTTTGGGAGACAGAGCCTCAAGCTGTCCCCCTAGGTAGAGTGCTATGGTATCATAGCTCACAGTAACCTCCAACTCCTGGGCTCAAGCGAGTCTCCTGCCTCAGCCTCCCAAGTAGCTGGGACCACAGGCACCCACCACAATGCCTGGCTTTTTTTTTTTTTTTTTGGTTGCAGCCATCATTGTTTGGCGGGCCCAGGCTGGATTCGAACCTGCCACCTTAGGTGTATTTGGCTGGCGCCTTAGCCACTTGAGCCACAGACACTGAGCCACCCAGCTTCTTTCTTAATGCTAACTGCTCAGCATCCTAGAGAATCAAGTCAAGATCAAACTTAGCAATTGCCACCTCTACTCAGTGTGTGCAAAGACAACCAGGCCTAATAATAACAATCTTTTCACAGAGGTGGGGATTGTACTTTGCAGTCTAAAGAGTACTTGCATATTCACAATCCTTTGGGAACTTCTCAACCACTCATGGCAAAAGCAGACCAATATGGCAACTCTAGTTAGAGGAAGCATTTTGCTTACTCCTTGAATTTAACAGTAATTGTTCTCTTATGTACTTCTGTACCTGGTCATCATACTTCAAGGACAGCTGGAGAAGTTGCCAAAGAGTCACTGGAAGGGAGCTATTAATAAAATCATTTCAGTTGGGGAGTGGGGCAGAGCAAAGGGAGAGCTGCTCAAGAATGTATGGAAGATTCTTGTTTGTAGGACTTGAAGATGCCTGGTGTGGAAGCCTGTGCTCAGAGCCTGGTGATCCCAGGCACACAGACGGCCAGGGAGCAGTCTTTCTTCCACTCTTTTCCTTGTTGTCTACTGCTCATCCTTTTGATCTTACATAGTTGTCACTTCTTTGGAAAGTCATCCTGACCTTCCCTGACTGGGTTAAACCCTATGACAGGCTCATTTTATACCACTTGCTGCTCTTCTATGACATAATTTTATATTTATCTTCCCCACTAGGCTGTAAGCCCTACATGGGAAATATTTATTTCTAAGTTTGTGTTATCATTTTATTACAAGTTTCTGACATATAGTAGGCCCTCACTAAATATTTGCTGGTTGAATTACACAAATACTTGGATATGGGTCTATCCTTCTCATCTCTGTCTATTCCCAAAAAGGTTAACAAGAACTAGTGAAAGATGCTCTCTGGGCTTAGGCCTGGTTCATGGTGACATGGCTACATGCACCAAGAAGGTGGGGATCCTCATACACATAGATCATGAATACATTTATGCATATGTGGGATACAATGTGTTGATTTTTTTATACAATTTGGAGTGCTTACATCAAATTAATTATATAGCTTTTGTCTCATTTATTTGATTATTGTGTTAAGACATTTATGTTCTATACTTGATAGATTTGACTTGTACCCTTGCAATGTGCTCCATAGGTGTGGTCCCACTTTGCATTTACCTGGGGCAGAGATTAAGGGAATAGCTCAAGCCCTGAGATATGGGCAGAAGAGCTTATACCCCTTATCACAGAGTAAGATCCTCTGTGGCAACCCTAAGAAGAGAAGCTCTTCTGCCCATATCTCAGGGATCATGCTACTCCTTTGATCTCTGCCCCAGGCAAATGCAAATCTCCACAATGGGTATACGCTTTGCCTGTTTACTAGGCAGAAAGCAACCCAGTTAATATATCTTTCTACATCTTTGCCATAGTCTCTTCTATGGCCACTTTTCCTCAGAGTGCTCATAGATCCAGCAGGGCTATTTGTAAGCTGTTTCTCCAATAGGCCAGAGTTTCAGAAAACGCAGGAAGCTTGCTAGCAATGGCTAGCTTAAATGTAAAGTAGCTGACTTTTCTTTGTTCCAACTCACCCAACTACTTTTTAATTTTCCTCTTTTTCTGGGGGTGCTTTCCCTTGCCAAGAATGAGGCCTTCGGTCCCCGTTCTCCCAGCACCAAGTACACTTGCTCCTTCTGTGGCAAAACCAAGATGAAGACACAAGCTGTGGGGATCTGGCACTGTGGTTCCTGCATGAAAACAGTAGCTGATGGTGCCTAGACCTACAACACCACTTCTGCTGTTACAGTAAAGTCTCCCATCAGAAGACTAAAGGAATTGAAAGACCAATAGGAGCTCTACTTTTTCAGATAATATAAACCAATAATAAATTGGTTCATTTAGGTAGAAAAAAAAGAAGTAGCAAAAGATGCCTTATTTTACACACAGACATGTATATAAATACATAAATAACATGACTTTCCAAGGGATTTTGATAAGTTAGTGAATGACAGCTCAAAAATGGGTAAGGTGGCTCAGCGCCTGTGGCTCAAGTGGCTAAGGTGCCAGCCACATACACCTAAGGTGGCAGGTTCGAATCTAGCCCAGGCCGGCCAAACAACAATGATGAATGCAACCAAAAAAAAAAATAGCCAGGTGTTGTGGCGGGCACCTGTGGTCCCAGCAACTTGGAAGGCAGAAGCAGGAGACTTGCTTGAGCCCAGGAGTTGGAGGTTGCTGTGAGCTATGCCACGGTACTGTAGCCAGGGCGAAAGCTTGAGGCTCTGTCTCAAAAAAAAAAAAAAAGTAAGGTATTTATTCCTTTAGAAGGTTGATAAACATGGAAAATGCTTAAATATATGAGAAAGTATATGTGAAATGATGTTAAAGTGCAACATAATGATTATGACTATGTAAAATCTGGGCACATGTGTCTAGGAGAAGAATCAAACATAATTAGTGCATTTCAGGGAAGAGACTTAAGGGCATCATTTTTTTTTACAAACTTATATTAATGATAATGAAACTTTTTAAATTTAAAAATATATATGAATGAGAGGCTCAGTGCCCGTAGCACAGTGGTTGTGGCGTCGGCCACATAACCAAGGCTGGTGGGTTTAAACCCAGCCCAGGCCAGCTAACCAACAATAACAACTGCAACAAAAAATAGCTGGGCATTGTGGCAGGCTGCTGTAGTCCCTGCCACTTGGGAGGCTGAGGCAAGAGAATTGCTTAGGCCCAAGAGTTTGAGGTTGCTGTGAGCTGTGATGCCATCGCATACTACCAAGGGTAACACAGTGAGACTCTGTCTCAAAAAAAAAAAAAAACTAATTAAAAATATATATGAATGAGAGTTAGATATTTAACTGTTATAGAAATTTACAAGTAACAAATGGGGGAAGGCTAGAATGAACTCTATAGTATTAGATTATAGGCAGATATATAAATATGGGTTCATGGTATAAAAATATTCATATACATACAGATGGATAGATATAGGAATAAATATAGATGCACATGAATGTTTAAGTTACTATACATTCATATATTTCCTAACTGTGTTGGCTAAGAAGAATAGAATAGCAACACCCTGGTAAGAGTTGGCATACCTAGTGTCCAGATCTTGGTTTCTAAATATCATTTTCCAATAAAAGGAATCAGGGATCCTTGGAGAACTAATTTATTCCAGAACTGAGACAGGGACAATAAAAGATGAATTTAGAGGATCTTGCAGTACCAAAAAGTAGGGAAGTGCTAAAAGAGAGAGAGAGAGAGATGTGATGGAGTTGCGGGAACATATCAAAAGCT